CCCTCGCAGTGCCCAGTTGGCCTGCGACAGAACTGATCTATCTATCTGTTGTTATTATCTGTTGTTATTATTTACTATTAGCTCTTTAATACTGCATTGTCTGTATTGTATAAATGCATTATCGCATTTATCTTTCTGTTAACTGCTGTGTGTGTGTAAGCTATCATAAATTTGCCTTTACTCCGCTCCCAACTTTGCCTCCTCAATCCGAAACTGAACCTAACAGCCCAGTGGGCCTGTGATAAAATTGATACACTCACAGTGCCCAGCTGACCTGTGACAGTCCCTCCCTCCCCTTCTGCTCCACTGAGCTCTGACTCTTCAGCAAGATTTCACACCATCCTGAGACTTGTAACCCAGGCCCAGAAGATCTCGCCCCCTCAAGGGGGTGTTTTCCTGCATCTCACCCCTTACTCTGGAGGTCAGTTCTCTTTGTGATTTATGAACAAGCTAAATTAAATCTCTCTAAACAGGAGCCTTCAGAACCTGCGGACAGTTTTATCACTTCTTTGTATACACTGGCTGAATCTTGCCAATATGAAGAGGTCAGGGAAGACCTGATTAGGGACTGCTTAGTTGTGGTTCTTCACGATGAAGAGATCTCACAAAGACTACATTTGGACCCTAATTTAATACTCCAGAAGGCTGTCACACAAGCCCACCTATCAGAGTTAGTTAAGCAGCAACAAAGGGAAATCAGAAATGATTCCATGCCCTATCGGGCATCAGCTAATATGGGTGCAATGCACACTGTCAAGAAACTACAACCAAATATAGAATTGACATACACAGTGAACAAAGGGAGTGGGCCCACTGGCACCCAGCAACAGCCAAGTGGGCAAGGGGGTCAATGCCATAGGTGTGGTGAAATCCCTGGGCATGGCTATGCTAAGTGTCCTGCTATGGAAGAGATATATTGATGATGTAAAAAGAAAGGTCACTACACCTGTGGTTTGTCACTCAACCACAGAAGTCCACAGAGTCACAGAACAGGACTCAGAACTGTTATTAGAAGAATTTAAAGTCTTCATCAGACCCAGGAGTCTGGATGACAGAAAGAGAAAGCAATGGACAGTCAACTCCATTTAAAATTATTACAAGAGCAGCAGTTCTAGCTACACCTGATACTTACTACAGCCAACATAGGGTTGAGATCCTCCTTCCTCCTACTAAAAGTTACAAGGACCAGGTGATATTGCTCTCAAAGTACTGGGATCCTTCTATGCAAAAATGACACTGAAGCAGAGAACTATAGACCAGGAAGTTCATGTTGTGTGTAATCTTGCTGTGCCTTTGTTTGGCTCACAGGCCATACAAGCACTACACCTTGTCTGTTGACTGGATAAAATAGCAGACCAGAAATCCTTGGAGCAGTACTGCAGAACCAAATACCCATCCATCTTGTCAGGTCTTGGAAAAATGTCAGGTGAATATAGAATATGTGTAAAAACTGATGGACCCAAGGATGGAAACTCAAGAAGCTTATCTTTTCTATCAAAAGATAAAGAGGCACTGCTTAGAAGGATGGGCTAAAGCAAGATTCAAAGACTGTGGGTTGGCATGATACCAACAGGAAAAACATAGTCTCCATGTTGTCAGGGATTTAGTCATCTTCCATAACAAAGTACTGATATCTTCTGCTCTACACCAAAGATCCTAGAGAAGATTCATGAAACTCATCAGGGTACTACAAGCTGTCAAGCCAGGGCTCATTAGACAGTTTGGTGGCATTCTGTTAATGAGGACATACAGAACTGGGTAGCTAGTTGTAAGGCTCAACACTGACAATCCCTGTAGAGCTATGATCTATGACTAAATTACCAGATTATCTATGACAGATGCTGGGAGCTGATTTACTGAGCTGGAAGGGATCTGTTTACCTAGTTATTGTTGACTATTACTTCCACTACTTGGAGATGGCACAGTTACAGAACACTGCAACTGAAAGCATTATAACGGCATTGAGTATATACATGCACCATGGCATACCTTCAGTTTTAAGAATAGATAATGGTCCAAAAATTTAATGGAGCTGCATTTAAGCAGTTTGTAGCCCAGTATGATTTTCTGCATATGACCAGCAGGCCACAGTCCCCAAATAGTAACAGGCAAGCAGAATGTGCAGTGTGGATGGTGAAGAACTTTCTTCAGAAAAATGAAGATCTCTATAAGGCTCTCCTGATTTACCATTCAACACCATTACAGCATGGATACAATCCAGCCGAGTTGCTTATGAGTCACTGACTCTGCACAATGACGATAGATGACTTGGTTCCAAAACTTGTCAATGCACAGAAATTTTGTGATAAAGATAAACTGATAAAGGACCAACAGAGACAGAATTATAACACCAGGCATGCCTCCAGAAATGTGCCTGCTCTTTCCCCACAGCAGAAAGTTTGGATTCCAGATGCAGGAGTACAAGGCACTGTCCACGCTAAGGTGGACATATTGTTCATATTGGGTGAAGATACCTAGAGGTCTTCTTTGTAGGAATCAAGAGCATCTCCGTCATATGCCACCTATGTACTATGCTAGGTCAGGAATGTTGTTGGTTCTACCAAATAGACCAGATTTGGGAATCTATCCACTTTAAATGAAAAGGCTTATTGATGTTTCTGTTTTGATTATTCTCTTTTTGTAGGGAAGTGAGTGATAAAGACTCACAGGAGAGTGATGTGTTTCTAACTTCTCCTCTCAAGACAATTTTGCAGTTCTTTGGAAATCCTTCCAGTTTCTCCTGAGAAAGAGGGATGTAGGAGTAAGGGTTAGCTACCTTCCTGAGGGCTGACGTGATAATATCAGCAGGAAGTTGTCAGTCATCTTTGTGTGTGTGTTTTTGTTGCAATAAAGCCCTTCGGAGAGCTAGAAGTCTCCCTGCCTTTTCCTGAGCTATGAGATAGCACAGTCACCATTGCACACAAATCACAGAAGTCATAGAGAAGCAGGGCTCGATGGGACCGCAAGAGGTCATCTAGTCCAGTGGTTCTCAATCTTTTTTGTACCAGGACCCATTTGTAAACATTGATGGCCAGCCCTGACCCAGTGCCCCTCACTCCTGACCTGCTGCCCCCTGTCAACAAGCCCCAGCCCCACAATGTGTGCAGCATGGGGGGCCCCAGCAGCCCCTCGCAGGCTAGCACTCTGCCAGCCCCAAGGGGAAAAGCTGCAGGTCGCCACATTTTTCTCCTTTCAAGGAGAATCCATTTTTAAAGTTTGTTGATCTATTTTTAAAGTTTGCTCACAACCCTTTCATATATTCTTGCAAACCACTTTTGGTTCATGACCCACAGGAATGCTGATTCCATGAACCAGGCATGCTCCCGGAGGCTGAAGGGGCACGGCAACTCCCCATGGGCAGCAGTGGCAGTGGCAAAGTGGCGGTGGTGAGCAGGGAGCTCCCCCAGGCAGCCATGACAGTGTTGGCGGTGGGGGGTGGTTGACCACCTGCAGATTCCACCGGCAGCATCGGCAGTTACGATCAGTGACCACCTGCAATTGCCACCGGTGGTGGCAGGGGGTAGGGTGGTAGGGAGTGGCGAGCGGCAACCACCTGCAGGCACCACTGCTAGCATCAACAGCGCTTGTCTCAGGGGGTGCACTGCCAATCTCAGGAGGTGCACGTGCACCCACGTCCACCCCCTATGTGTTGCCAATGGCTGATCTAGTCCAACCCCCTGCCTAAGCAGGATGCTGGGCCTCTGTCAGCCCACCGACACACTAATAGTCTAGGCCCTTCTGTGAGGCATCTTCAGTGTCCTCCTTTCCCCCCCTTCACCCACCCCCATGCCTCACAGCTTATGCAGCAACATAAAGCCAAACACAAACACAATTAGTTGCTGCTGGGGTGCCTATTCTCTAAGCTGTCCTCCAGGCTTCTTCTCAGCTCTGCTGGCGTCTCCTGGCTTGGGCCCTCCAGCTTCTGGTACTGCTTCTCAGCTTTCTTTACCGAGAGCGCCTTCAATTCGCACAACCAATGTCAGGCTCCCTTTATCTGCAAGGCTTTACAGAACTCTCAGCGATGAACTCCCTCCTCTAGTTCTGCCCAGGTCAAACCACCCCCTGCCTCAAACGCAGGGGTTATATAGTCCCTGGCTCATCTTCCTTCTGAGTTGAGGTCATGGCATCAGATCATTATCTAATTAGCTGCCAGCTGTTTATTATCTGGGGCTCTTCAACTTTCTACCTCTAATCTCAGTAACAGGGCTTAGCCCCTGTTACAACTGGCATGTGCCCAGAGCCATTGTAAGGCCACTATGCTGCCTTGTTCCCAGAGTTTAGAACAGGGGTAAGAAACGTTTTTGGAAAGAGTGCCAAAAACACCTGCACACTCGGCCTGTAAGATGCTGGCATGCCAGGGCCGGATGGCAGAGAAGCCACAAGGGACCCGATCCTTGTTGTGGCAGTGCAGGCCCAGCCCCTTCCCTGTCTGCCCTGACGTGTGTGTGCCAAGCAACATACCACACTCTGGCACCCATGCCAAGGGTTGCCTACCTCTGGTTTAAAGTGTGCAGAGTGGGAGTGAGTGAACAGAGCACATTTCAAGGTGTCAGCCCAGGCCATGGTCCTGAGGCAAGGCAGGCTTGCCCTGAGAGGCTGGGAAGGTAGGGACTTGATTTGGAGTGCAACAGAACCAATGCCTTTGTCCCATGTGTCATGTGAGAATCACAGAGAGCTGCTTTCTTCAAACATTGAACAAGGGGCTCTGCCACAATCAGACTTGGAAAAAAAAAGAGTTCTTGGGCAGAATTAAGAAACATTCAGACGCAGGAAGTTGCAGATGAAGAAGACATCATGGACAGGATCCTATATTTGCGTTATTGAAATGGAGCAGATTAGCGTCTGCACAAGAACACTCGGAGGCGAGCGGCACCACTGGAGACAATGAAATCCATCTAGGACCACAACAACAACACAACTAGGCTTCCTGTCCCAGCTCTTCAACTGGCTCCTGTGGGAAGAGGCACCCACAATTGTCTGACTGCTCAGGTAAGACTTACCACTTACAAATTTAGGGGCACTCATTTCCATGAAAGGGACTCGATTGAAAATGGCATCCCGCTTACACTTCTCCACATCCCCATCATTGTAGATCATGTCCACAATCTCGCTGATCCAGGTTGTGCCTACAATGCAGAGAACCCTTTGGCAGTCAAGTGTGTTCTGCCTCCTACCATGTGTCACTGGCGATACAAAGCTAAACACCCCCATTTCCCTCCCCTGAAAGCCCTGTGTCCAGCTGAACTTGCCTGATTTGGGGTAGGTGGAAATGAGAAGGTCGTCTGGCCTGGCTTGGAAGGCCTCCACCTGGCCCCAATTCTCCACAAAGCACCAGTAGAGGGGAATCCCGTGGATGCTCTCTAATTCCCTCCTCAGCATGTGTTCCTCTTCCATCTTGGGAGGCCTAAGTTGAGAAGAGGGAGGGGAAAAAATTACAATGGTCTTTACTACTTAAATAATCACTGAGTAAAGCATAGAATCAAAGAAAATGAAGATGGGAAGGGACCTCAGGAGGTCATCTAATCCAACCCCCTGCTTAAAGCAGGACCATCCCCAACTAGATCATCCCAGCCAAAGCTTTGTCTGCCCAGGTCTTAAAAAACTCCAGGGATGGAGATTCCACAACCTTGCTGGGTTCCAGTGCTTTACGATGCCTCTTCTTCTCCCCTGCCTGTCCTTGCTGAACACTTTCATGACAGTATTCCCATCATGTGAGCTATCCCACCAAAACACACTGTTACACCTCATGGGAACATGGTATTTAGTTGTTGAGGGGTGGAAAAAGTGGTACTGATTTCCATAGTGTTTCTCCCAGGAATGGATACATCTTTCTTCCCTTTCCCCTCTCTCCCTGCCAAAATAATTGATGTCGAGACTTCTGCTTGGAAGTGCTTCTGTGGAGTTCAGCTGAGAGCCCAGAACATTGTTACTGGTTCTCTGCCATAATCCTAACAACTTGCTAAAACCACCCACACATTCATGTGTCTAGAAAGGAGAAATTAGAACCTGTTTCCCTGCTGCCAGTGGTGACACGTAGGGGGTGCATGGTAAACTCCCCCTCCCCTGGTCAGTGAGACTGGCTGCAGGGGACCTGTCCCCCAAGTCGAGGTGATCAGCTGCGGGGAACACGCACCCCAGTCAGCAAGATTGGCCATGGGGAAAACCCCCTGCGGTTGCTGGCTGGTCACTGAGGGGGCACATGCCCCCCCAACTAGGGTGGAATCAGTCACCCGTGCTTCCCTGCCCAACCTGAAGTACCCATCAGTCTTTGTTACCTCCCAGAAAAGATACTGTTCTATAGACCAGCAATTTTCAACCTTTTTTCATTTGCAAAGCCCTAAACAATTTTGAATGGAGTTGCAGACCCCTTTGAATTGTAAGTGTGGGTATTCACATACTTTTGATTGATCATATTCATCTTTCGCAGGCCCCTTACACCAGAGGTGGCCAAAACAGGGCCTGCCAGGCAATTTCATCTGGCCCACACGTGCCCACCAATTAATTATACCCTACCCTCCCCAGCCCACATGCCTCGCTCCCACCCTCATGGGTGCGAGGGCCCCAGGCCCAGCCAGCACACAGCTTCTGGGTGGGGCCACTGCTGCAGCCACCAGGGGACCTGCTTGACTTCCCCAGGCTCCAGCATCTGCTTCTGTCCCTGCTGCAGCACTTGCTGCTCCAGGCAGCAGATAGGGAAGCGGCACTGAGCGGGGTGGGGGGAGCTGCAGCTGGGCAGCGGAAGCGCAGAGCTTGGGTGGGCAGGGTGTGGGTATAAGTGTATGGGGAGGGAGGGTGGGAGATGTGGGGACCTGCCCCCATGGTGCACAGCCCCCACTGCTGGTGGCAACAGCAGGCAGTGGGCCCTTGGGGTTCTTGTGGCCCATGCATGTACAGCCACCTTGGGAGGCACGGCTCCGACCAGTTCTGGGAGTGCATGGGGAGTGCACCAGTGCAAGGAGAGTGCACCAGTCCGACCAGTTCTGGGAGTGCAATGTGCTGCACCTGGGGAGGAAGAACCAGCACCATACCTACAGGCTGGGGAACTCCCTTCTCATCAGTACAGAGGCAGAAAAGGATCTTGGAGTCATCATTGATGCCAAGATGAATATGGGCAGGCAGTGTGGGGATGCAGTCAGGAACGCCAACCGCACCTTGTCATGCATCCACAGATGTATCTCAAGCAGGTCCAAGAAGGTGATCCTCCCCCTCCCTGCGGCACTGGTCAGGCTGCAGCTGGAGTACTGTGTCCAGTTCTGGGCGCCCCACTTCAAGAGGGATGTGGATAACATGGAGAGGGTCCAGAGGAGGGCCACTTGCATGATCAGGGGGCAGCAGGGCAGACCCTACGAGGACAGGCTATGGGACTTGAACCTGTTCAGCCTGCACAAGAGAAGGCTGAGGGGGGATCTAGTGGCCTGTTACAAACAAGTCAAAGGGGACCAGCAGGCATTGGGGGAGTCCCTGTTCCCCCGAGCACTACCAGGAGTGACTAGAAATAACGGTCACAAGCTGGCAGAGGATAAATTCAGACTAGATATCAGGAGGCACTACTTCACTGTCAGGGCGGCTAGGATCTGGAACCAACTTCCAAGCAAAGTGGTGCTGGCTCCTACCCTGGGGGTCTTTAAGACAAGGCTAGACAATCACCTTACTGGGGTCATGTGACCCCAGTACTCTTTCCTGCCATGGCAGGGGGTTGGACTTGATGTTCTGCTCAGGTCCCTTCTGACCCTACTAACTATGAAACTATGAAACATGGAGCCAGGCTGGCCCACCTCTATCACACGGGACTCCCCACAACTCATGTGCAGCTTCTGGCACTTGCACACCACTGAGGGAAAGCCCCATGTGATGGAGCCGGCAGCCTGGCCCTGCTGCCTCTCTCCATGTGCACTGCCAGGACTTTGCCAGGAAGCAGGGGGTGGTGCTCCCTGCCCCTTCCTGCGGAGTCCCAGGAGCTGTATGTGGCAGCAGCCCTCGGGGCACTCAAACCCCACACGCCACACCCTGCCCCTACAACCCCACCACCTATGCACACACCCCACAACATACCCTACACCCCACCACAGACAGCCACATCCCCCCACAAACCC